TGTCGTTTGTGAAAGATCGGAAGTCGTGGTATTGCGCGTTGATGTCGGTGGTACTGATGAGGTTGTTCACTGCGGAGTCGGTGTAGTTGGAGTTCTTGTAGTTCAGCTGCACGGCTGGGTTGATTCCCTTTCCGTCCTTGCCCAAGCACAGAGAGGAAACCTGCACGGGGAACAGATTGGTAGCATCCTTTCCAGAATACTTCTCCAGATTCTTCTGTGGAACGATGCTCGGATAATGGTGAGGAATGAACTCTCCCAGGTCGTAGACGATACCGCGGATGGCAACGTAAGCCTCGTTTCCATCCTTGCCGTTGAAGGATGTCAGTTCGGCAGCAGAGTAGACGTGTTGTTTCGGGCAAATAACAGCGGGGAAGCCAATCATGAGGAAGATGACGAAGGCACAACTCCACCAAATGATCATGTTGATAGCCAACTTCTCTCGCCACGCCATACGCACATCTTTGCGTTTGATGCGTCCGATGTACCGGATAGCAAAGTCGGGAATGAGCCATGTCATGACGTAGACAATGAACACCCATCTCTTTCGACTGCTTGAGGTGGGAATAGTCTCGACCTCCTGTAGTTTGGCTTCAGCAGCCTTCTCGTCGTCGATAGCCTTGGGCTGTTCTAAGCCGTGGAACATGTCGCCATTCGTGATGCCCGATGGCGCCTCTGAGCGAGCATCGATATCCCTCTGGCCAAAGTAGTTGCCGCTCTTGTCGTCGTAATAAGCACCAGGCGAGGGTGAGAGGAGACCAGCGCGCACGTCGCCGTACGATCGGTTTGCATCAGGTGTAAGCAGATTGTCGTTGGAATCAGTCGGCCCACGAGCGTAAGGAGCGAGGTTTGAAACGTTGGCGATTTCGAGCCAGCACTTCTCGCTCAAAAAGACACCAGTGGCACCCACACGAACTTCGTTCTCCCGCCACGGCTTGTGATCGAGAACCATCTCAGCCTTCTCCTTGTCGCTTCCAACAATGGCGAGGTCAGTTTGTGCAAGCCCAAGGAACTCGGCGAAAGGCATGAAGATGCTGAAGTCAGCCACCCGAAGACGTTGGCTGATCTCGGCAATGCCCAGAGCCTGAACTTGTTGACGGACGCATTTGCTGTCGAACTGGTTCGCGATCCTTCGGTCATTTGGTTTCAAACAGAAGACGAAGTAGGCGTTGGCTTTGCGCATTGTCGATTCAATGGTCCTCAATGAGCTGATGAATTGGCCTGCGGCACCAGTCTGCTTCTGAGCTTCACCGGGCTTCTTCGTGCCCGAGATGTTGCTCTCTGCATCACTAATGGCATCCTCGTCGAATACGTTCAATTGACGTCCGAATCGACCAGTCTTGTCGGCCTTCCGCTTCGCCATGCTGGGCTGGCGTGTAGGTTTGGAGCTGACAGTAGCCTGGACGATGGCTGACTTCTCCTTGGGGTGTGTCATCTTCTGAAGAGCCTCTTGTCCAAAGAGCTGTTGAACGAAGGGAGCCTGGGCGGACTTGAGCAGGTGCATCATGTCGCCAGAGATGAGCTCAGCGTTTTCCTCCAAAAGACCCTCTACACTGTAGTCGATGTCACCAGTGAAGTGGCGAATGGTAAAGGTGGGCGAAGTGTTGGGGGTGGGGAAGTTGCTGCCGGGTTGCACGACTGTCAAGCTTCCAGGAACAATGGCCTGGTGCTTGCCGTCGAAACGCTTGCGAATGGCCTCGAGGAACTGCATGTCAGTCTTGCCACGGCGCATCTGGTCGTCTAGGATGCTCAGAAGACCGTTGCCGGGCTTCATAAGGCCGGTCTTGACAGCTGTGTTGTCGTAGAAGGCCATGGGCGGCAGAGAGATCTCCTCGGCTTCCAGCTCTTGGATTTGCCGTTGGAAGAAGCTCTCCTGGCAGAAAGAGATAAGGGACTCGTTCGCAGTGTTGTTGAGGAGCTGATCCAGTGATGATCCAGTGGCGGCGAAGTTGGCGAATCCTGGGAAGTCGACCATGGAAACAGTGTTTGAGATTTGCTCGGATGGCATTGAGATCCTTGAGTTCATCTGCTCCATGACCCAAGTGACGAGGAGCGAGTACAGAGAACGGGCAAGCTCATCTGCATTGGCTCGGGCACCCTTGGGGTCCAGCATAACGGTAACGCGCTCGCGGTATAGAGTCTTGGACTTGTACCGTAAGCTTTGCTCCAGATCGGATATGGCAACGCCTAGGAACTGGGCAATGGGTACTAGAGACTCCTGGTTCTTGACAACCGTAATGGACTCTCCACCTTCATGGGAGTATCCACCGCTCTCATCAGGCGCAGGAGTTGTGTTTTGGCCCATCTCGAACTCGAGCTGACCAATGTGCATGATGGTAGCCATGATCTCGCAGATGCCTGCAATGCTCTCTTTGCCAAATTCTAGCCTCCGGAGGGCGGCCTTGAAATCAGCGAAGCCCTTGGAGTCATCGATGCCGACCTTGAGCTGTGTAGGGTGTCCGAGATAGCGCCATCTCTTGTTGGAGCCGAGCGAGGTGCGGTTGCCTGCGCCCTCTCCACCTACTGCGTCGAGGAACAGGTGCTTCTTCTCATTGACACTGGTGCCAGCGAGGAGATAGTAGAGAACATGGTAGGTGCGCTCTCCAGTCGGCACGGAAGCGATGCGGCTGCGCTCGAGACGGTGGGCGAGGAATTGGGCGCCAAGCAGGGTGGCGTTGTTCGCGGTGGTGGTATTATACTGGAGCTCTAATAAGAGACCAGATTTGGAGGCTTGCGGGGTCGTGAGGGACTTGGTTGTGGTGAAGGCATCGAAGACAAAGTTGGCATGTTCAATCTTCTTGGAGAGAGGTGTCTGGGAGAAGGACATGAAGGACCTCAGCATGTGTCCGCGGATGGTCGTCTTTCCGGAGCCAGACTCGCCACTGGAACATGTTAGAGATGTCAGAGAGATGCAGTTCGGGCACTCACAGGAAGACAATGGCTTGGTCCTCGGAGCGGTGTCCCAGGCGCGTGTAGGCCCTGTGCGAGAGGTCCTCGGCGGCCTGGTGGGCGCTTCCCTCTTTGCCGCCATCTACACCGAGACTCGCGTCTGTGCATGTGTTGATGGCGACAATGCCCTGGGAAGAGAGGGCGGCAATGGGCAGGTGTGCGTGGTACCGGCTGGCGAGGGCCGAAGTCAAGCCCGTGTCGTTCTGCTGGTGCTGGGGCAGCGAAGGCAGCGAGGGGTTCTGCAGCGGGTTGGAAGCCATGGTGGGCAGCCGCGTCCCCGTGGGAGCGAGTGAGAGACCGAGGGGTCAGGCAGGCGCGGTCGGCGGTCGGATGGCAACTGCGCGTCGTGGAGACTCTTCAATGTTGTTGGTGTTGCGTCCGCAGGGCTGCTGGCAGGACTGGCGGAACAAGAAAAACACGCGGCGGGAATAATTACAATCAGCGAATGTGGAAAGGGTGTACAAACGAAGGTAAAGGATGCCAAAGCCAAAGCCGTTGAGTTGCGTTGCAAAGGGGCCGGCACGGTATGCTGTCTAACTCTACTCTGGACCAGACGGAGCGCTGGAGAGCATGGGGCTACGATGCTTCTAGCTCAGCTTTGCCCGCCGCCGCACCAGCCGCCTTTGGGCTTGTGTTGACTGGGAGACCCAGCGATCACGAAAAGGGGGCGCAAAAATAGAATAGAATACGCTGAACAGCCCTATTACCTCGCATCCCCGTTGCGGCTCCACTCGCCTGCTTATTGATGCGACGAAAAGGTCGTGAGAGATGTCGAGCTTCGCAGCACGTAGGATGGCACCGCGACACAGCGTGACCCCGAGAAGCACCTCTGCACGATACTGTCCTCACGTTGCACCTGTTTCTCCAGGCGAAGACGTGCATCTGGGACCCGGAGACGCATGGCAGAGAACCACTACCAGACATGCGTGCTAGCGGTCGCGCGCCCCCCGGGAACGATCATCGCTGCACGCTTCAATGCACTAACCGTCGAAACCGTATCGATTGCGCGGCGACGGAGCATGCCCATGCCGCCAACTGCTCTCGATAATTTTTTCGTCGCTCGACAGCCGTCAGCCAACGTTTCTTTTGCTCGCCCGAAGACGTTGGGCCAGCCGGCGTCGAGGCCCACTGCTCTAGACAGCGGGAGGCTGTGTGCGTGACTTCACGATAAAGTAGACCCTTGGGTAGCGCCCGCGATGGAGAGACAAGGATTGATTTTGTCGGTCCCAACGAGGGGCGCGCTTTGACGTCAGGTCGAGATCTGAAATTGTCCCGGCGTGATTCGGTCGTGTTGAAACCATGGAGCCAAAGACAAATGAGAGCTAGATGAAAGGGCGTGAGGTGGATATTGGGATGTGCCTGCAGTGCGCGCCATGTTACAAGCTTCAGACGTCGGGCGCCATCTCCGCAGACCCAGATGCGCCGTCGAGTTTGATCTTATCGATTAGATGGCGATGGCCGTCATGGAGTGAGAGGAATTCTCCGACTATTGCTTGTTCACACCATATGGTGCCAGGAAATATCGACGACATGAGTAAACCGGGCTAAAAATAGGGGCTGGCATCGCATCCACGCCACCCGCTCGTATCACAGGCCCATGGGACGGTGCCGCAGCTGGTAGTGGCCACGAAAACCAAGACTCGCCATCCATGTCCGGCTGGTGTTGATGCATTGAGCTGCCTCGCCCCGGCCTTAGTCACGCTGCTAACCCTCCCTAGCCATACGCCGCCATGCCCCATGCAGCTGGCCGGGAATGCGTCTCGCCCTGAGCCAACAAACATCACTGCTGCTCGGTCTGCGTTCCACGAGGCCTCTCTTGCTGTCTGCATTTTGTTCTTCTCCATACAATCGTTTAATCCGTCCACTCGCTTGGCCCTTTGCTCCGTCGCCGTGTAATAGTTGCATCTACACGCGACCCGTACCGCTCTCGCCCAGACACTTACCTCTGGGAAGACAAGACAGCTGCAGTCAACACGCGGTTACCCTCCACCTACCCTCGCTATAGTAACGGTACTCGCATCCACGGAAGGGGCGACCCGCCTCAGCCCGCAACCATGAGTTTCGTCAACAACTCCCGCATGTCCGTCTACTCGACGGCGTCCGCCTCGGCATCGCGCCCAGGCAATTCGCCCTCGCAGACATCCACCACGACGCTGCTCAACACGCTCAATTCCGCCTACAAGAACGGCCGCTCGTACAACCTCGAGGCCAGCACCAGTCTGGTCGTCAACACATGGGTCAATGCCAAGAGCATCATCGACGACCGCATTGGTGGCACCGTCGACCTCGAGCTGGGGCGAAAGGCATGGGAACATGCCCGCCGGAGAGCTGAGGACGGCTGCATAGTCCTTGCGTATGTATCCAACCTCCCTGCGTCCACCATCATCCACTGACCCGCGCAGTTCGCTGCACGACTCGAGCCCCTCGCTCTTCTCGCCCTTCGTCTCCAGCCTGCCTCTGTCCCTCCCGGGCAACTTCTACACTGCACTCGAAGCCCTCAAAGCCTTTACACACTGCGTAACTCCGGAGAACCCCTCCACCCCCCGCTACTCGGCCCTGGCTGCCGTCTTCACCATCAACCTTGCTGGCGGTGTCGTCGGAGCTGAGATCAAGTTGTCCACCTCCGGCCTGGACGTCCAGCAGGGCTTGCTCCAAATTCCTAGCAAGAGCGGTACCCGCGCCTTCGATGCCTTCTACTACCTCAACTCGAGCTCCGCTTCCAGGCAAGAGAGGGAGTACCTGGACATCCAGTCTCCTGACCACTACGCCCTTCTCCGACGATCCGGAACATACGACCCTCCCAGTTACCTTCCCGATGCTGATGATGCCGCTGCTGCCGAAGACTTCCGCGCCAACCTCAAGGCGATTGGCATCAAGGGCCAAAAGTTAACCAGGCTTATCAGTTGTCTGACTGGACTGTTGAAGCTTGGCAACACCCTCGACTACTTCATGGATGAAGAATCTCTCGCTTCGGTGTGCGAAGATGTAGAAAACCTATTGGACCTGCCTGAAGACACTCTCCGCCAGAAGCTCGGCTCCAACGAGCGCGAGGTTGCCATCGGTGGTATCTACGAAGCCATCGTCGACTTTGTCATCTCCCACGCCAACAACTCAATCAAGGAGGACATCCAACGCGCCAAGTCTGGCTATGCCATGGACGGCAGTGAAGGCAGCGGCATGATGACACCCAACGAATCGGAGGACGGAGACATTGTCAACATCACTGTTGTCGAAATCCCCAGCCGTACTCTCGGAAAGGCGATTGCGCTGCGCACTGTATTCGACGACAGCGAAGGAATCAACGCCGAGATGCGCGATGACGGTGTTCAGGTGCCGCCTGTTAGCAATTCCGTTCTTGAAGGCATGCGCGAGGCCATGCAGACCTGCGCAGCAGAACTCGGCATCAATGGGGCCGCTCTTCGCGAGAAGGAAGCTGATCTAGAAAAGCGTGAGGCTGTGTTGGAAAAGCTCGCTCTTGAGATCCCCGACGAGGACAACTTCGTAAAGAAGGTCCTGAACCCAGTACCCAGCAGCGGCATTGTCCTGGGCAAGCATGGCCGTTTCGACCTGGCCATGACAGTGGCCAGTAGCAGAGTCTGGTTCCAACTGGCAATCCACCCCACCGATGTCATTCCCACCTCGCTCAACCAGGACCTCAACTCCACCTGGCAGGCTGGCGTAGTTTCTCGACAGCTTCGCGAGTGGCGACTACCCGAGTGGGCCAACCGTCGTAACCGCAACCTCGATTTCACTGCCGACTTCGATCACCACGAATTCTACGACCGATACGCTCCCTTGGGTTGCATGGACGGTCAAGAAGGCATTCAAAACTGGACCCTGCAGCGTGGCTGGAGTAACGGCGAAGTGATGGTCGGGAAAGAACGCGTGTGGGTTAGGGAGGGCACATGGTGGGAGGCGGAATCGCAGCTCGACCTCAAGACGCACGAGATGGGTGGTTCCCCGAACATGATGGGTGGCATGATGGGAGCTGGAGGCATGGACAACGGATACTCTACCCCGCTCCCACCTACAGCAAGTGCATTTTTCCCACCTCTTCCGGACATGTCTGCGGCTCCTCAGAACCCGTTCCAGAGTTCCACAAGTCTGGCCGTGCCAGGTGCAGATGCCAAGTCAATCGCTCCTACTACGCGCACGCTCCCCACGGCGGGACCTGGTGACTACGGTCTTGGAGCCAAGGGCGACGAGAACAAGGGTGTCAGCTACTATGACATGGAGTCTGGTGGCAACGCTGTCGTAACAGAAACCCCTCTAACAGGCACTCGAAGGCTCTGGGTTTTCTTCGTATGGGCCCTCACCTTCTGGATCCCCTCGCCGCTCCTCAAGTGGATTGGCCGCATGAAGCGACCTGATGTGCGCATGGCATGGCGAGAGAAGTTCGTCCTGGTTCTGCTCATTGTCTTGCTCAACGCCGCTATCGTCTTCTACATTGTCGCTTTTGGTAAACTCTTGTGCCCGAACAAGGACAAGGTCTGGAACCAGAAAGAGGTTTCACAGCATCAAGGTGAGGACGATTACTTCGTCAGTCACCGTGGTGTCGTATACGACTTGACCTCTTTCTGGAAAAAGCAGCACAGCGACTCTAACACCGAGGCTACACGGGATCGAATGATGGAAATGGCTGGTGCCAACATGGACCCATACGTCGTTCCTCCGCTATACATCGCTTGCCCCAATCTGATTAAAGACACGCCTCAAAACCGGGTGTTGCAGCTGACACTGAACCAATCTACCGCCGAGAACCTCAACGCAATCGCTGTCCACGGATCTGGCTCAAGGACCAATATGCCAGACAGCGCTGCTCTGAAGAGCGAGACATGGTACCCTGACGTCTTTCTCCCCGCTATGAAGGAATTCAAAAAGGGGCCCCTAGTCTGGGAAGAGAAGACGATCAAGGATGAAGGTGAAGACCTGAATCACATGTGGTTCAGGCTTGACGACAGGGTCTACGACTTGACGGACTACTTCGCCACGATCGACTACATGCGGGACCAGGACCAGTACAACTTTCTCGATCCCAAACTGATTGACATGGTAAAGAGCAGCGCCGGTCAGAATCTCAAGGAAGACTTCAGCAACAACCTCAACAACAATGCGCAACAGTACAACAAGCAATGTCTCGACAACTTGTTCTACGTTGGTCAAGTCGATTTCCGTAAATCAGCCAAGTGCCAGGTCAACGACTACATCCTACTCGTCGTCACGGTCATCATCGGTGCAGTCGTCGTCATCAAATTCTTGGCTGCGCTCCAACTTGGCTCACGCAAACGCCCCGCAAACCAGGATAAGTTTGTCATCTGTCAGGTGCCAGCCTATACTGAGGGTGAGGATTCGCTCCGAAAGAGTTTGGACTCTTTGACTGCCCTCTCTTACGACAACAAGCGAAAACTCATCTGTGTCATTTGCGACGGAATGATTGTTGGTGGTGGTAACGATCGTCCTACGCCCAAGATTGTACTCGATATCCTCGGGGTTGACCCCAAGGTAGACCCTCCTGCCCTTCCGTTCTGGTCCGTCGGTGAGGGAAGCCAGCAGCTCAACTACGGAAAGGTCTATTCTGGTCTGTACGAATTCGAAGGCAATGTGGTACCATACCTAGTCGTCGTCAAGATGGGCAAGGAATCGGAACAGCACAAGTCCAAGCCAGGTAACCGAGGAAAGCGTGACTCCCAAATTCTGCTCATGAGCTTCCTCAACCGCGTCCACCACCGCTCAGCCATGAACCCCTTGGAGCTGGAAATGTTTCACCAGGTCAACAACATCATTGGTGTTGACCCGGAACTGTACGAGTATTTGCTCATGATCGACGCCGACACCATGGTCAAGCCCGATGCTCTTAACCGTCTCGTAGCCGCGTGTGCCCACGACTCGAAGATTGCCGGTATCTGCGGTGAGACGAGCTTGGAAAACGAAGACAGGTCATGGTGGACTATGATCCAGGTTTACGAGTACTACATTTCGCATCATCTGTCCAAGGCCTTTGAAAGTTTGTTCGGCAGTGTCACCTGTTTGCCTGGATGGTAGGTAATCATCCCACCTGCAATGTATGGCGCTAATTCGTATCAGTTTCACTATGTACCGCCTACGCACAGCTGACAAGGGCAAACCTCTCATCATCTCGGACAAGATTATCAAGGACTACGCCGACTGTGTTGTCGACACTCTGCACAAGAAGAATCTCCTCTCGCTTGGTGAGGATCGTTACCTGACGACATTGATGACGAAGCATTTCCCCTCCATGTCTTACAAGTTCATTCCCGATGCGTACGCTCTCACAGCCGCCCCTGACACGTGGAGCATTCTGCTCTCCCAGAGACGTCGATGGATCAACTCAACTATCCACAATCTGGCCGAACTCGTCTTCCTGAAGGATCTCTGCGGTTTCTGTTGTTTCTCGATGCGATTTGTCGTCTTCGTCGATCTCTTCGGTACTCTTGTCCTGCCATCCGTCTGCGCATACCTGGTATTCCTCATCTACACCGTCGCCAGTGGCTCAGGCCAATTGCCCATTGTCTCCATCATCATGTTGGCGGCGGTGTACGGTCTCCAGGCGCTCATCTTCATCATCAAGCGACAATGGCAGCATGTGGGATGGATGATCATCTACCTCCTGGCCTTCCCTATCTACTCGCTCGTACTTCCCATGTACTCTTTCTGGTACATGGACGACTTCTCGTGGGGTAACACCCGTGTCGTCATCGGCGAGCAAGGCACTAAGCAGGTTCTCACCACGGATGATGAGGGCTTTGACCCCAAGTCAATTCCTATGATGCGCTGGGACGAGTACGCCGAGCGCAATGAGCTTCCCGGTCGTCGCGGTCTCCCAGGCATGACCACTGAGAAGGGTGGCTTCAATGCGTACGAAGACGAAGCATACGAGATGAACGACATGCAATCCGTCTACTCGTCTGTCAAGCCTGCCTCGACCGTCATGTCCAACATGCAGCACATTTCGCACATGCCGCCGCAATCGCCTGGGCCATACCAAGGTATGCAAACCCGTCAATCGACATACTCGAACATGTCGCGGTACCAAGACAACCCACACCAAAGTCGCGTCATGTCGATGAGCAACATGAGTGACATGTACAATGGCAACAACACTTCACCGTACGGTCAACGCCAGAGCATGGGTGGCTTCCAGAGCTCAGACAACCTGATGGCCTCGTCCACACCACCGATCCGTGGACGTAGCCCTCTCAGCTATGGCGCCAGCATGTCACGGCCTGGCAGCACGACCAACTTCCAGAGCATGATGAACGGCCCAACCGATGGCCAAATCATCGAGACGGTCCAAGCCTGCCTCAAGGACGCGGACCTGGACAAGGTCACGCGCAAACAAATCATCGCACTTGCGGAGCAAAGACTACAGATGCAGCTCACTGGCGAGAGGAAGATCTTCCTCACGCAAGCCATTGACCACGAGCTTGCCAACATGATGTAAGAAGGAGAAGATTGAGGATTGATTGCATTTAGCGGTGTTGTTTGTACATGTCTGCACGGCAGTAACGCCATTTTCGTCTTTCCTTTGGAAGAAAACATGTATCTTTTGCATCTGGCGCACGATTAAATGGGAAAACTCGGGTGTTCTGGGAATCTGGGTTGTACTTACATCGCTCTTTTGAAGTGGTGGTAATACGGAGTTGTTGCATATATCTAGTGGAATTGAAGATCATAACATGAAGCTTGTTCTTTTGCCTTTGCAGTGATATGAATGCATTCATGTGAGGCATGGGAGTGGCAGGCGGTGGATGCACGACTAGCGTCAGGTAGCTACGTACCCCAGCCCAGCAGGCGCGGCCAGAGCTCCGCCATCCCGACATTCCCCAACCAGCACCCCCGAATCTCACACGACGTACACAACTGTCCCCTTCTTGGCCTCTCCTATTCCATAGACTCGACCCAATTCCGACCGCAAATATGGCGCCGAACCGCATCGAGCAAGACGAAATCGAAAAGTACTGGGAGATATTCAGTTCGCTCAGCGGCGGCGGCACCCACCTAGACGGCGCGCAAGCCGCACCCGTGCTCAAGAACTCACATTTGCGCGATGACCAGCTGGAGAGAGTGTGGGATCTAGCCGACGTGGACAATGACGGCAAGCTCGACTTTGAGGAGTTCTGTGTCGCCATGCGACTGATCTTTGACCTGATCAACGGGGTATGTCTGTCTGCATGGGCGATGAAGGAGACACAGGATTGACCACCCTTCCGTAGATATCTATGGATGTACCAAAAGCGCTGCCCGACTGGCTCGTCCCCGAATCCAAAGCCCACCTCGTCCAGGCCGGACGCGCCCTCTCCGGCTCGCAACCCGCCTACGAAACCGTCGAAGACGATGACGACACGCCCGGTCTGCGCGACGGCTTCGACTGGTACATGTCGCCCTCGGACAAGGCGAAATACGAAGAAATCTACACAGCCAACCGCGACGGCCACGGCAACATAACCTTTGACAGTCTGTCCGGCCTCTTCGACAGCCTAGACAACGTGCCCGACTCGGACGTGCGCTTCGCCTGGAACCTCGTCAACCCCAAAGCGCGAGAAAGCGTCGGCAAAGACGCCTCCCTCGCTTTCCTCCACATCCTCAACCAACGCAGCGAAGGCTTCCGCGTGCCCCGCAGCGTGCCCCCGAGCCTGCGCGCGAGTTTTGAGAAAGCGCACATAGACTACGACATTGAATCAAACGCAAACTCGCGCTGGGCCGCGACACGCGACGAAAACACCGCCACGGGCCGCAAAGCCAAATTCGGCGACGCATACCTCACGCGCCTGGGCGTCGGCGACCGCGCAGCCAACTACGGCGCGCGCGGCGGCAAAGGCACTGATTTCGGGGGCCGCACAACAGAAGACTGGGAGGAAGTGCGCTTGAAGAAGCAGCTGCGCGAGCTGGAGCAGAAGATTGCGGATGTGGAGAAGGAGGCGGAGAATCGGCGGCATGGGCGCAGTAAGGATAGTAAACCGGCGCTTGTGAAGCGTGAATTGGAGCTTCTGCTTGATTATAAGAGGAACGTGCTCAAGGAGTTGGATAATGATGAGGGGGGTGCGGTTAAGGGGTTGGGCGGCATTAGAGAGGAGATTGAGACGGTGAGGGAACAGGTTGAGGGGTTGCAGGGGCATTTGGAGAGTAGGAAGGGGGTGTTGGAGGATTTGAGGAGGCAGATTGATGATGAGAAGGCGGGGTAGGGGGGTTGAAGGGAGGGGGAGGGGGAGGGTGTATATAGATATTTGGGTATTGTTTAGAGCTGGGTAATCAGCAATGAAGTTTTGGAACATGATATTGAAGCTCATTGAGCACTGTGACATGCCAGTATGATGCGGCAATATCTATCATCTCCACAGACCAGTTATGCTATGATGTTGACTCCCACAAAAGGATACCTTATATCCATCCGCACAATCCTGACATCAACTATCTGAAAGTCAACATCCACCCTTCCCTTTCCCCACGCGCCATCTCACTCCTCCTTCTTATGCGCCTTCGCAAACAACTCGGGATGATCAATCGCATACTGCGCGCCCGCCGCCCAATGATACAACTTAGCCGCAATAACATACCCCTCCTTCGCAAACTCCTCCAACCTGCCATACAACTCGCTAATCGGTATATTCACCCTCTGAATATCCTCCCCCTCATCAAGATGCTGTTCCGGCTCCGGGTCCCCCTCATTCAAATGAATCTCCACCATGCACAAACACAGATTCGCACTCGTCATACCGGGGTCCGCTGCTACGGGTGGTGAAGTGGAAATAACGGTTCCTGTGTACCCCGTTTCCTCGTAGAGTTCGCGGACGGCGGCTTCCTGCGGGGTTTCAGAGGCATCGATTAGACCGGCCGGCCATTCTACTGTGAAGCTGTTGACTGGGGGGCGGAATTGGATTACGACGATTGTGGAGGGGGGCTTGGAGGGGTGGTAGATTATGTTGCCCATTGCGACGGCGTCGACGCCGGCGCTGCCGGTTGTTTTCCTCGAGGCGATCTCCCAGATGCGTTCTTTGCCTTTGGCGTCGATGTAGGTGGCTCTTTGTAGTTTTACCCATTTGGCTTCTGAGGAGGGGAGGTCGACGAGAGAAGTTACTTTGGGGGTGCCGGTTGAGGAGGCCATTGTGACGGCGTTTACGCGGTCGACGAGCGGTGAGGTGAGGTTGGAAGGGGTGCTGTGGAATAGTCTTTTGGGGATGAGGGTGGTTGGGGGGCGTGATATTGTTCGTCGAGTGAGGGTTGTGAACATTGGCTGTGGTTGCGATGTCGGGGGTTTGGAGGTTGGGGTGCCGATGACGTTATCTAGGTGGAGGAAAGAGGTTACCACGAGATGTCTGTTGGAGAAGAAACCACGACCGCACAAGGAATTGTACTTTTTGAGTCAAGTAACTTAGTTTATAGTTTGAGATGCTGTATGAAGTTCGCTATGCCTTCTGATGCCAGTTCAAGTAATAATTGAGAGACCCCACTCTGTTTAGCGTCAGGCACGGCATTTCACGTAACGTCATCCAAAATAGATCCAAGCCACCGATAAGCATCACTTGTCAAGACTGTCGTTAAACCCGAGTCTATCTTCCGCTGCGATCAGGTTCTGCCCCGTCTTGTTTACTCGTCCATGTCTGTTCTGTAGCACGTTGCGCTGTTTTCAGACGGTAATCCTCCAATTTCTATCATGGCCTCATTGCGCATCCTCTCTCGAACAACTCCGCAATTCAAGTCAATCACATCAAACCCAAGACATTTCTCCTCAAGTATACCAAGACATGCCGACTTCACGCACGCCGTCATAGGCGGCGGAGTCATAGGCCTAGCCATAGCCCGCAAACTCCAACAACGCGACTCCGCCTCCACAGTCCTAATAGAAAAACACGGCCACGTCGGCACAGAAACAAGTTCACGAAACAGCGAAGTCATACACGCAGGTCTCTACTACGGCCCCACATCTCTCAAAACCAAACTCTGCCTGCGCGGAAAAGACATGCTATACTCGCTATGCAAACAACACGACATCCCCCACCGCAACACCGGAAAATGGATCGTTGCCCAAGACGCCGCACAAATGGACGCCTTACAAAAAGTCCACGACTTCGCCAAAAGCATAAACGTCCCCATCCATTTCCTCAGCAAACAAGAAGCCCACCGCCGCGAACCAGATGTGCGGGCTGAAGCCGGCGTCTTGGAAAGCCCCAGCACAGGCATCGTAGATTCGCACAGCTTGATGCAGTACCTGCAAGGCTCCTTCGAAGACGCCGGCGGCATCTGCGCCTTCAAATCAACAGTCACACGCATCAGCCCCATCGATTCCGGGCGCTCGGGCTGGGAAATCACAACGACGGGAGCAGACGGCGAGGAAAGCAGTATAACAGCCGACACGTTGGTAAACTCCGCGGGTCTCTTCGCCGTCGATATCCAGAATATGATTTTGCCGAAAGAACGGCATAGGAAAGCTTTCTACGCAAAAGGCTCTTATTTCAGCTACGCTGTCTCGCGGCCTAAACCGTCTACACTCGTCTACCCGGCTCCCGTATCAGGCCACGGCGGACTGGGAACACATCTCACGCTCGACATGGCGGGGCGAATCCGCTTCGGACCAGACGTCGAGTGGACAGATTCACCTACAGACTACACCCCCAACACCAAAAACATGAAGCAGGCTATCGATGATATCCAGACGTATCTGCCGGGCGTGGATAGAAACGCTATCCAACCTGATTACGTGGGTATACGACCGAAATTGGGGAAGTTGGCGGCGACGAGCGGGAAGGACTTCCAGGATTTTGTGATTCAGAAGGAGGAGGGGTATGAGGGGTTTGTGAATTTGTTGGCCATGGAGAGTCCGGGGTTGACTAGTAGTTTGGCGGTTGCGGAGGAGGTGGAGGGGTTGTTGTATCGGTAGGGGGGAGGGGTGGGGGAGTGCGTTGTGAGATGTCCTGAGCAATGCATGGCATTGAGATGATGTGGGAAGATTGGTCAATTACTGGTATGCTTTCAACTAGTAACGCATGGGTTATCCTGACCTCGTAGTCGATATTAGCAATAATAGTTGGTTTATCACTAGGCAGTCCTACATGTAAGCTAATATCAAGCTGAAACCTTCTGATGCACGTTCACACTAACAACAACATCACATTACAAGTAACATCAAGATGTGGCAATAAAGACCATTTCATTCAACGTCCCAGACAGCGACGTTACTTCTAGACATTAAGCAAGAAAAAGGTGTGATGTTTGTATGATCCATCACATAGCTCCTACAACATATATACCCCAAGCGAACCAAGTCATGATCCCGTAGTTTTTATATCCAAAAGCCACACACACCCCGCCCGTCATGTAATGGTGTAATATATGTACAAGTAAGGAAATGAGTTTTTCGCGAGAGAGAAAAAAGAGTTCACTCGCGGTGTGTTGCGGTGCTGCTCGCTGAAAACGCCGGGGACATCCAATGCGCACACAAGTAGTTTGATGATAAAAGAAAAGGTCAATGCTGGTATGTCGTTGATGTGATGCAGCCGTCTAGGCGGAAGATGGAAGAAAGATCAAGATGCTAGATCATGCGGAAAGAGGCGTTTACTTGCGGGGCTGCTTGCTGAGGCGCTTCCGCTTCTTGGAGTCGCTTGAGTCGCTGCGTCCGTGGTTGGACGCGGGCATCGTAGGTTGGCCTAGCGGCGCAGGTGATACGTCACGCATCAGGCTGCTTTGCTGTGGGGCCTGTAGCTCGTAATCCTCACCAGGTGCGGTGTGAACGTATTGCTGAGCAAGAGGGCTGCGTCCCTGGCGCTGGTCTGAGCTGTTTGTCCTGCTGTAGGACGGCTTGGGCGACTCGAGACCATGGCCCTTCTGCTCGTTGGACAGCGGCGATGTGCGGGCTGGGGCATGGGCGAGGTCGCTGTTGGTACGCATCTGGGCAGGTCGTTGCGGGCCCTTGGACTGGTATACCGAGTCGTCGTCGATGGAGTCAACAGATTCGCTGTACATGCCCTTGCTGGCACCCTGGCCGACCTCGTAGGGTCCTCCTCGTGGCTCTTCGTAGAAGGCTCCTCCGGCAGGCTTTTGTGTTTGCTGAGTCTTGTGGTAGATACGCGCATCCTCGGGGTCCATGAAACTCTCGACACGACGGGGCATGTAGATGGAGTTGGCAGCGGAGGTTTCTTGCGAAGCGAAGGAGTCCATGGAAGAACGGGGGTGGAGAGGAACGTGAGGGACGTTGGGGTTGCGGGGCATTGTGTTGGGAAGCGTAAGACCAGAGTCGTTGCCTTGCTGGTACCATCCGTTGGGCAGGCGTTCTGCGGCGGCGAAGCGTCCGTCGATGTTGTCGCCGGGCTGAAGGGGGATAGCGGCTGGGCGGTGCTTCTGCGCCTCGGCAGCAGCCTTGAAAGTCTCAGGAACAACGTTCAGATCGTCACCAGTAGCCTCGGCGGCCTCGATGGCCTCCTGGGGAGTGGTCTTGGTGTCGGCGCTACCAGCATCGGCACGAGGTCCACCCCATGTACGCTGACCGGCGGTGAAGATACCGTAAACCATGTAGACCCAGTTGAAGAAGGGGTTGACGATGAACATGAGGGGGTAAAGCATGATCTTGTAGCGACCGAGCTTGGCGCCAAAGTACAACATGAGAAGCCAGTTAAGCCCCAGAGAGATGGCGATGAAACCAACGGGAAGGTTGGCAACCTTTTGCGAGGTAGTGATCAAAGAGATACACAGGATGAAGAAGAGCAGGGCGGTGGTTCGGATGGTGTTCTGCATGAAGCGGACGATGAGGAGGATCGGGTAGCGCTTCCAGAGACGGATATCAGTCAACATGCAAACTTCGTTGGTGATAAAACCCAAGAACCAGCGGCGACGTTGCTTGAGCAGAGATTGGTAGGTTTGCACAGCTTCGGTCTTGCAGAATGCTCCGGTGTTCATCTGGATCTGGTAACGTTCCTTGGCGCCAATCATGAACAAGTGAGTGAGCCAACGGTCCTCACCAAGATGGCACTTGCCGTAGTCGAAGAGGTCGTCGCATTGCTCGGCCTTGTCAGCGAAGTAGTACTTGGCCATCCTGCGGAAAGCGGAGAATCGAAGCATAGTAAGGGCACCAGGCAAGCAAGTGACGGCACCGCAGCCGGACTCGACTGAACGCTCGAAGAGTTGACCGTGAACGTATTCCATGTCCTGAAGAAGGGTGATGAGCGAGTTCTTCTCGGTTGTAGAGGTAATG